AGTTCCGCGCAATTAATATTCGTTTGAAGCTAAGCGCGCGTTATTACGTCGGCACTTCGGCGGCCGATCCACCGCGCGAGTACGCCTCCTTCGAGCGTACCGGCGCTGTTAACCCGGTCCGTCCTCCGGGTGGTACACTCAGTTATTTATTTGTCAATTATTATCTCGTCTTAATTATACTTCGAGTCATCCTGCGCGCGAGAGTATCGATGCCGACGAGAAGCGGCCAAGTGGGAAATTTCGCAGGGTCTAATTGGCTGCCAGTTCGATTCCTTAGAAATATAACGAACTCTAATCGGCGAATCTAAGTAGGTTCAGGTTAAAAATTCCAATTCAGGTGGTTGTAAAGTGTTTCGTGTTTTCAGTGACGTATCAAGGACTTGATTCGGTTAAATAATGTTACGTCTTTATTATTGTATATTCGCAACGCCTCTTAATGGCCATTTTACTCCTTTGATTGAGCATCGACGGAGCCGATTTAATTTGTCGAATTTATTTGATTATATTTATTTCACTAAATGTAAGTATAATACAAGTGTTGCGTTACGAGCGACGGGGATGTAGAAACTCTCGACGCTTCGCGGTGAGATCGGTCGCTGGGCGAGACGCGAATCGTGAGACGCTCGCGAAGAAGACGGAGAGATCGTCGCGAGATCGACGAAGGATCTCCCGCGATATTAGAGCTTACGTCACGATTCGCATCGTGACTCACGAGGTATTATTAGTCGCTGCCCGTTCTCGTGACTTCCACCGCTGGGGAACCGGGCGCTACCGATTGGCCTCCGACGTTTCTCCTCGCGGTCGTCTCCTCGCAACTCGCGGACAGCGGAAGTGCCGGCGAGAGCCGTGGGGGATGCCGGACAGAACTCGATAAATCTATCTGCTCGCTGAAACGAAGCTTCTTCGTGCACGTGACCATCGCTGTATCAATCGATAGCCTGCGCAGCGTGCTAAACCACCGAATTTCGACTCCCTACCTTCCTTCCCCCCTCCGTCACCACCCCGTTCCGAAGTTTTCCCCTTTACTCTATGCTGCGCCCGTAAGATGGGTGAATCGGGAAAGTTGAAACGCGATCGGACTAAATTGATTTTCCAACGTCGATACGCTAATACGGCCGGTAACTGCTCCTCCCCCCTTCCCCTCCCCCCTTGTCCCTCACCCCTTTGCAGTCTTGGTCTCCGGGCGTGGTTAATACGAAAATATCGACGGATCCCTCGTCCAACGTCGCGATTACTCGTGATCTGGCTCGTAGAACCAGCGCGTCGGCTTGTAATACTAATAATTAGAGACCGGAGAGCTCATTAAAGTGTCGCAAGAACGCTAACGACAGGTACAAAGTAAAGAGTGGCGGGAAATTTATGATGAGCTATATTCTTGTGCAATTATTATGCACGGCGACCGTGTGTATGTGTGTGTGTGTGTGTGTGTGTACAAGGTGACTATGTACGTATATACAGGGTGATTAGAAAGTTGCTGACACGGTGAACCGTTATAATTTCGGCCCGGCTGTTTGGCGAAACTCGACCAATTCCAGCCAATGTGGGAGCCGTTTAACGAGACAGCCTTTCAATGATTACACCCGGTACGCAGTAAGAGAATCCTACCAAAATTATAGTCACTTTCGGCCTCAACTGTACATGTTGTTCCGGTTTTAATCTACAAAATAATAGCAGCAATATGCAAGTAAGGTTATAAAGCGAAAAATGTGTCACAAACGGCCAACACCAAATTTTTGTCTTACTTCAACAAGGTGGATATATTAATTTAAACATATTTGCGCACTTTTTTTCACATACTCTCAATGTTAAAGTAACACGACAATTTACGTTCATACACACAAAATTGCTTAATCCCGCTATGATGATTATAGTCACAAATACCAAGTATTTTCTTTTCTCAGTGCGAACGCGCGCTCAAGCTCGCCGTGGTGAAAACGGTCACGGTCCTTTCGTCGTTGACAGAAAATCGCGCAGAAAATCAAGATACTGTATTTACAGAGAAGTAATGTTTACTCCGTGTAATTATACGCGTGTAATTTTCACGCAGAGACGAGAGCCGATTAATCACGATGCGCTTCGATCCTTCCGCGATTTGAGCGCGGGGCTCCGCCGCGTGGCCGAGGCGTGCGATCTTAATCGCAAGCTCGGAGTAAATGAGGCTAATTAGGATTTAACGTATGCGGTCGGACTAATGAAGCTCAACGACCGGTGGCAAGTTTGCACCGGAACCAGTAGTTGGCGCAGCCGAGGTAACTTTGCGCTCAAAAGGCGAGATGTAGGGCTCGCCGCGCCGTGTGTCTTAATGCGCTTTAGCGACTATAAACGGCTTCACCGGGGGGAGGAGGGGGAAGGGGGGCGGTAGCCGCGCCACCGCAGCGTGACGCTTCGTATAATAGACAAATATCAGCGTTTAACTGCGCGTTTTATCGCCAAATTAGATATATCGTTAGATGCACCGGGTTTACGATTCGAAATGCAGACGCCATTCGTTACGTCCGGAATATTTACGAGACACTACGAAAAGTACCCCCTCTTCCCCCTCCCCATACTGTCGCACAATGTCGTTATTATAACCTCATAAAAGATTCCTTAAGATCTGATTGCACTGAGAGAAATCCTAGTAAAAAATTATAGCCATTTACGGCGCCCAACCATATCTTCTCTTGTTTCTAATCGAAAAGATAACAAATAGCGATATATGCGTGTAGAATTATTATCATTGACATTATTATAACACTTAATATGACGCATAATCGTGACAATTTATTTATGAATATTTTACAAATCACTATTGGATGGCGAAAAATGTTTTCGATTCCAATTTTCTTGCGTGACAATGGATATTTGCGCCTTGTTAAGGGAAATAAGAGTCGGGAAAATGGGATCTTCGCGGGACCGAGCGATTCTCGCGGACAGAGCGAGAAAGGCTACTTGAAGTCACGAGAGGAAATCGATCGTGATAATGCCGGGTATGCGGGCGTCACTTTTGCACAACGGATAATTCGCCCCTCTCTCTCCCTCTTTCTTGATACATTCTACGCGATAAGAGGATATAAGATACGTCAGAGGATATACCGAGGCACGAAGCCGACCGATGGAAGTGTCGACGGAGGTGAGATAAAAATCAGTAGCTCGAAACCGTACGCGCGTGATCTCGCCTTTTAACGAGATACTTTCACGGGCGTTTTCTTATGCGAGCTGCTCGCGGCTCTAGGTGTGTTACGTTCCTCTGTAAAAAGTAGTACACCCCGAGGATCCGGGATCTATTTCTCGCGGGAGAAATTATCCAGTCGCCTCGCGCAAAGTGTAGAGCCACGTGTTATCACCGAATACCGAAATTCACGGTAATGCACAGACGCTGCGCGACCAACGCGCGATTTAATTCAAACGCAATGCAGGACAGTAACGGGCGACAACGGTAACGTTAACAATTCGAAGAGTTTCCGCGTCTAAAGTTTCGCGCGCGTACACGCATACTGAGAAGAAATCAAAAACCGTTCAAGTAATATTTACTTGATCCAAGTAAAACGGTTACTCCGACACACCCTGGCAAATATTTGCTAGAAGCAGAAATAAGGTGTTACTGCGTTCGAATAAGTATTTCTATAATGAAACATTCTCAAATTGATAAGAATATCACTTGATTCAACAAGCTGAAAGGAGAATTACGTTTACTTCGTTCCAGCACTCTTCTTCTGTGGACAAACAAGGTCGGACGTATCGTATGTTCAATGATACACGGATCTCAGCAGCCGATGCCATTGATCATCTCCCGGTTTAATTGAAACAAACGCTATTTACTACCAACGATGTGCAGATATTTCGTCAGGATTACGTTCCGAATATTCGGCAGGGCTCGCGATCGACGAGCAACGACTAGCGAGATAAGGGCAGGGACAAGGTAATACGATTTGAATGAAAAAATTCGGCAAGGTTGCGACCGGGTGAGAGGAGCGGATAGAAGAGAGAGACGCGCTGCTTAGCATAAACGTGTGCCGCGAGGTCGTTCCCACGATTGGGGCGCCGAATAGAGAGGAGAAGACGTCTAGTTCTCCTCCGAGGTTCGAGCCCGTTTTCCATGAAAGAACGACGCAGAGAGCCGACATAGCGACTTCTAACTAACACGGCACGTGTGTGCGGGAGGATGAGCGCGTGCGTGTGTGCGTGCGTGTGCATGCGCGAGCGCAAAGGGACGAATGGCTTGTGGGAGAGGAAAATAACGGCCGAGTGAGAAATTCGAATTTCAAGGTACGGCCGGAAGACGACGACGGTACGTCTTCGAACTCCGATCCGAATCGGCGGGAGGCTCCCCTTGGATTTAGGAGGCGTAACAGGTGATTCTTCCTCGTCGCCGGGCACATCCCAGTGACAGTATGAAATATGATTTGGCCGCGATCTCACGTCGGCCCGGCCGCGTCGCAATTAATGTCGCTGTATGGAAACAATGCCATCCATTCTTCCGGCCGCGCCGATGAAAAGAGCCGATTTACATCCGCTGTCGTGATATTAAATCGCAACGTCAACCGTAGGAGAGGGAACTATTGTTGTCAAATTTTCGGAAATTATTGCCAATGTTACTTTAACCACATTATTTTGCTGACATTTCTTTCACATTTTCACTCGTCAGTGGTTGGTGCAGAAGTTCGTCGTTTTCCTATTATTAGACTATGATCATAATGACGGTATCAATAACTTCGGGAACTGTGAATCAAAACATGAAACTCTCTTCATCAAGATATTTCTTTTCACGGTACAGATTAAATGTGACACCGTTAATACGTTATATCATCGGGTACAATTCAAATCGTCAACAATTCCCGAAACGCACGGAAACACATGTAAATATAGTCTTAATGTCCTTCGAACAATCACAAAATATATATCTTTGTACTGTGTATACAGAGTTTTATAATATCCGTTAAGCTGTCACGTTGCAGGCATTACGTTGAAATTGATACATCGAAGAATCCGTTAACCGTCAGTTAAACAAAAGGATCGGTATGAACTTTTGGGAGAGACAGTTGCACAATCTGGTAACATACTCGACGCCTGATACTTATAACAGGTGGTTCAATCCGAACATTTGTCACGTCTGCAAATCACCAAGTACCAATTTGTTATCGTGCGATTTGTGTGGCATGATCTCCTACTGCAGCGAGGAACACAAAGAAATCAATAGGCCGCAGCATACGGAGATCTGTTCAATTATGGTAAGCATTTTAAACGAGGAGTCACAAAGGAAGAGTTGTCAATTCATCCTGAAGGCTTGGATCCATTCGAGAATAGAATTTATACGTTCGATTAATCGGCAGCTGAAACGCAAAGCAGAGCAATATGAAATGGAGATGGTCATATTCGCAAGATCCTGCGTTATTTGTCATCGGCAGACAGATCTGCACGCTTGTCTGACGTGCTTTTCCGCCAACTATTGCACAGAGCACGAGGAAGATTTTAAGAGACACCACAGCGCCACTTGCAGGAAAATACTGTTAGGTCTGAACCTGGATATCAATTTTCCGCAGGGTTTTCTACATCCTATCATCCTCAATATGTTTCCCGATGAGAGGAGACCTGTTACCGACATGCTTACCTTTGTTCGTGAGCTTATACACGTACAACCTAACGTCACGGGCAATATTGAGCCCGTTTGGCATTGGTCTGCCCTCGATTATTTCTATTCCGATTACGCGTCAGACCCGTTGACTTTGTATTTTGGATTACGGGGTGCCGATTTATCGCATTTCCCGAATATCACAACCAGCGCCTTCGTTGTTCACATAACAGCTGCGTATTCGATGCATAAAGACTGTTTGCCAGCTTGGGAACTATTCATACATTTTTCACCTCACATAAAGAATTTAAAAGTTATACTGATAGGACAAGAATTACAAACCGAGTATAATGTTATCAATCTTTGCGAGATATGCACCAGGAAGGGTAAAAGTTTCAGTTTCGAATGTCATAGTACATTGTACCACATTTACGTGAGCGATGTGGCTTATCCAAGGCCAAATGTGATTATCTGGTTTCAAGCAAATCTTACCCTCAAGAAGGAATGCGTGGAGTTGATTTCTAAATTATGGGGTCAAGGCTGTCCGTTGCTTTTAACCACCAAATCGCAATTTACAGCCGAACAGAACATAAATGAGATACAACAAGTCTTAGGTAAACGTTTAAATATTTTACTTCATACGGAAAATAAATTTGCCTCGCTCAGACCATGCAGAGAAATTGGAACGGATAATGCAATTTTCCGTAATCGTCATTTAACTGCCTTCTCGCATTTGAATGATGTACATTATAACATCGAGGCTTCAATCCGCAATATACGTGTATAATGTCACTTTTGTACAGAAAGGTCAGAGTACTTTGGGCATTTTTAATTGGAACCGAAATAGCGAAAGAATTATGGTCAATGATTTTCTAGACAATATATAGATTGTTGATTATATGCTGGATAGTTACTATAAATGAATTGCTGTGAAAAGTTACAAATGAACTACAAACGAATATTTATAATAAAGAAAATCTTTAACTGCAGCTACTTCGTTTTCCATTCAAAAACATGATAAATGTGGTAAAAATTATGGTCTCGAAAATTCGATGTTCGTCTATTCGCGACATTTCGTCCGACAACGAATATACATAGTTCGCTACAATCATGGATAAAATTGATTTTGTCAACAATTCTCGAGTGTGCCGGAACTCTTGTAAATATATTCTCAGTGTTCTTCCAACAATCACGAAGCACACATCTCTGTATAGAAAATTTCGTTACTTTTGCCAAGTTGTAACATCGCAAGCACTATGTCGAAATTAATTAATCGCAAACGAAGAATCCGTTACAGACAGTCAAACAAAAACAACGATGTGGCATATTGGGAGAGAGAATTGCGCATCGCTAACAGACTCTTAAAGCCTGACACTTATAATGACAGTTTTAATCCAAACATTTGTCACGTTTGCAAATTTCCAAATAATTTGATATCGTGTGGTCAGTGCGGCATGATCTCTTACTGCAGCGAGAATCATAAAGAACTTCACAAAAAGCAGCATATGGAAATCTGTACAATTATGGCAAATATTTTAAAAGAAGAGTCGCAAAGGAAAACTCGTCAATTTAATCTTAAGGATTGGATCATTTCGAGATTTGAATTGATACGTTTAATCAATCTGCAGCTAACACGTGAAATGAAGAAGTATGAAAAGTTGATCGTCATGTTCGCAAAAACGTGTGTTATTTGTCATCAACAGACAGATCTGCACACTTGTCTGACGTGCTATTGCGCCAACTATTGCACTAATCACGAAGAAGACTTCAAAAGACGCCATACTTTCATTTGCAAAAAAATGCTGTTAAGTTTGAACATAAGTATCAACTTTCCGAAAGCATTTCAGCCTTTCATAAACCTCATTAAGTATCCAAACAAGGCGGAACCTATCACTGACATGATGGCATTTGTTAAAAAATATCTGCGTGTACGATACACAGGCGTAGATGATATTGAAAATCGCTGGCAAATGTCTGCTGTCGATTATTTAGCTTCTGATTACGTAACAGACCCGTTAACACTGTATTATGGATTGCAAAACACAAATTTATTACATCAACCTCTCATCAAGACGAGCGTTTTCGTCATTCATGTACTAATTATGAACTACATTACTATAAACTATTTGACAGCTTGGGAATATTTGTTGCATCTGTTGCCTCATATAAACCATTTAATAATTGTACTGATAGGATCTGAAATGCAGAATCTCGAGCGCTTTGATATTAACCTTTGTGAGAAATGCACGGAACAGGTTAGAAGTTTAACTGTTGATTTTAGTTATGAATTCTATCACATTTATGTGAAGAGTGTTGATTATATAAGGCCGAATGTGATTGCAGCGTTAAATATGGATTTTAATAATATGGGAATGCCGCTTTCACAAACAATTTTAGAATTTCGCGATAAAAACTGCCCATTTTTGTTGACCTCGCATTCGCATTTAATAGCCGTACAGAACATAGATAAGATACAACGGGTCTTAGGTACAGGTTTATTTAATTTATATGACACGGAAAATAAATTTGCTTCGTGTAAACCGTATCAAGAAATTGGGACTGATAGTGTATACTTCCGTAATTATCATTTAACTGTTTACTCGAATTTGTATCAAGTGACTCGGCCCTCCGATCCTTCTGTCTGCCGTATACGTGTGTAATATTACTTTAGTGCGGGAAAAGAAAAAGTATCTGGTACTTATAGTTATAATCAACAGAGTGCAATATGCTGTATACGAGTATAAAATACAAATCGTATTGGTATACCGAAAGAGAAAAATATTACTATAATAATATATATTATAAAATATTGTTATAATAATAATCGTAATTATAATTGTCATAATGAAAAAATCGTAATTAGACGATCCATTTTTCTACTAAGCATTATTATACTGTGAACAACAATAACCTTACATACATATTGCTACCACTACTTTTTGTTGATTATAATTATTAATAATTTGTTATAATTATTAATAATTGGGTTGGTTATAATTTGTTTTAATTATTAATAATTGGTTGGTTATAAGTTGTTATAATTATTAATAATTGGTTGGTTATAATTTGTTGGTATTAATTATATTAAAAAGATGGCACTTGAGGCCGGAAATACGTTAGTAGTTAATTACATTCGCGTATGTAAACATTTTAGGAGATTTATCTTGTCGACAATTCCCAAGCGCGTGGAAGCTCTTGTAAACACATTGTCTTACGAACCAATCATCAATTACACATCTGCGTATTGTGGATAAGGAATTTCATTACGTTCCATTAAGCTATCAAGTTGCAAATATTGAGGCAAAATTAATGTTATGAATAAAGAAGAAAATTAATATTACGAACAAGAATCGTTACAGCCAGTTAAACGAGATCATTGTTATGGCTATTGGGAGTTGCGAAATCTTAAAAACTGTTCGATCACAGCGGCTGATGTTTATATCGGCTGTATCAGTACAAACATTTGTCACATTTGCAAAGTTCCAAGTAATATGATATCGCGTGATGAATACGGCATAATCTCTTACTTCAGCGAGAAATGCGAATTCGACAAACCTAAACATATCGAGATTTGCTCGGTTATAGTAAATATGTTCAAAGAGGAGTCGCAAAACAAAGCCTAAAAGTTTAACCAACGAGTTCTAGGTTCACGTTTAATTAATTTATGCGATACAGAAAATTAACTTGCTTCGTGTAAACTGTGCAAAGAAATGGGGACCAGTGATGTATTTTTCCGTAATCTTCATTTAACTGTCTTCTCGCATTTCCATGATGTACATTATAACGTCGAAGCTTCATTCTGCTATATGCGTGTGTAGTGTCACTTTTGTACAGAAAGGGCAGAGTATTTTTGGCATTTTTTATTGGAAGCGACGTAGCGAAAGAATTATGAACAATGATTTTCTAGATAATATATAGATTGTTATTATAAATGAATTGCTGTGAAATGTTACAAATGAACTACGAATATTTTTAATAAAGGAAATATTTAACTGCAACTACTCCGTTTTTCATTCCAAAACGTGATAAAAGTGGTAAAAATAATTGTCTCGAAAATTCGATGTTCGTCTATTCGCGACATTTCGTTCGACAACGAATATACATAGTTCGCTACAATCTTGGATAAATTGGATTTTGTCAACAATTCTCGAGCGTGCCGGAACTCTTGTAAATATATTCTCAGTGTTCTTCCAACAATCACGAAGCACACATCTCTGTATAGAAAATTTCGTTACATTTGACAAGTTGTAACATCGCGAGCACTATGTCGAAATTAATTAATCGCAAACGAAGAATCCGTTACAGACAGTCAAACAAAGACGACGATGTGGCATATTGGGAGAGAGAGTTGCGCATCGCTAAAAAACTCTTGAAGCCTGACACTTATAATAACACTTTTAATTCAAACATTTGTCACGTTTGCAAGTTTCCAAATAATTTGATATCGTGTGGTCAGTGCGGCATGATCTCTTACTGCAGCGAGAATCATAAAGAACTCAACAAACAGCAGCATATGGATATCTGTAAAATTATGGCAAATATTTTAAAAGAGGAGTCGCAAAGGAAAACTCGTCAATTTACTCTGAAGGATTGGATCATTTCGAGATTTGAATTGATACGTTTAATCAATCTGCAGCTAACACGTGAAATGAAGCCTTATGAAAAGTTGATGGTCCTATTCGCAAAATCATGTGATATTTGTCATCAACAGACAGATCTGCACACTTGTCTGACGTGCTATTGCGCCAACTATTGCACTAATCATGAAGAAGACTTCAAAAGGCGCCATACTTTCATTTGCAAAAAATTGCTGTTAAGTTTGAACCTAAATATCAACTTTTCGGAAGGATTTGTACCTTTCGTAAACCACATTACGTATCCCAACACGACGGAACTTGTCACTGACATGATCGCATTTGTTAAAAAATATCTGCGTGTACGACACGCAGGCGTAGACGATATAGAAAATCGCTGTGAAATGTCTGCTGTCGATTATTTAGCTTCTGATTACGTAACAGACCCGTTAACACTGTATTATGGATTGCAAAACACAAATTTATTACATCAACCTCTCATCAAGACGAGCGTTTTCGTCGTACATATAATAATTCCGAATTTTGTTAGTACAAACTATTTGACAGCTTGGGAATATTTGTTGCATCTGTTGCCACATATAAAGCATTTAATAATTATACTGATAGGACCCGAATTGCAGAATCACGAGCGTGATGTTATTGACCTTTGTGAGAAATGCACGGAACAGGTTAGAAGTTTAACTATTGAATATCGCCGTGCATTCTATCACATTTATGTGAATAATGTGGGTTATATAAAGCCAAATGTGATTGCAGCGTTAAATGTGGATTTTCATGTGAGAAAGCCGCATTCAGAAACAATTTTAGAAATTCGCAATAAAAACTGCCCGTTCTTTTTGACCTCGTATTCGCAATTAATAGCTGTACAGAACGTAGATGAGATTCAACGGGTTTTACGTACACGTTTATTAAGTTTATATGACACTGAAAATAAATTTGCTTCGCGTAGACCGTATCAAGATTTAGGGATTGGTAGAGTATTCTTCCGTAACTATCATTTGACTGTTTATTCGAATTTGCATCAAGTGACTCGGCCCTCCGATCCTTCTGTCTGCCGTATACGTGTGTAATATCACTTTATTGTGGGAAAAGAAAAAATATCTGGTGCTCATAATAATAATCAACAAATTGCAATCAGCTATATACGAGTATAAAACATAGATCCTATTGGTACACCGAAAGAGAAAAATATTACTATAATAATATATATTATAAAATATTATTATAATAATATTCGTAATTATAATTGACATATTGAAAAAATCATAATCAGACGATCCATTTTTCTACTAAGCATTATTATACTGTGAACAACAATAACCTTACATACATATTGCTACCATTACTTTTTGTTGGTTATAATTATTAATAATTGGTTGGTTATAATTTGTTTCAAGTATTAATAATTGTTTGGTTATAAGTTGTTATAATTATTAATAATTGGTTGGTTATAATTTGTTGGTATTAATTATATTAAAAAGATGGCACTCGAGGCCGGAAATATGTTAGTAGTTAATTACATTCGCGTATGTAAATATTCTAGGAGATTTATCTTGTCGACAATTCCCAAGCGCGCGGAAGCTCTTGTAAACATATTGTCCTACGAATCAATCATCAATTACACATCTGCGTATTGTGGATAAGGAATTTTATTACGTTCTGTTAAGCTATCACATTGCAAGCATTGAGGCGAAATTAATATTACGAACAAAGAATCCATTAGAGGCAGTTAAACGAAATCATCGGTATTGGGAAAGAGAGTTACGCATTCTTAAAAACTGTTCGATCACTACGTCTGATGTTTATAACGACTGTTTCAGTCCAAACATTTGCTACATTTGCCAAGTGCCACATAATTTGATATCGCGTGATGAATGCAGCATGATTTATTACTGCAGCGAGTAGCACGAATTCAGCAAACCTCAACATATCGATATCTGCTTGATTATAGTAAATGTTTTCAAAGAGGTGTTGCAAAAGAAATCTCTCAAGTTTAACCAACGAGTTCTAGATTCACGTTTAATTCATTTATACGATACAGAAAATAAATTTGCCTCGCGTAAACCGTGCAAAGAAATGGAGACTATTGATGTATTTTTCCGTAATCATCATTTAACTCTCTACTCGTATTTGTATAAAGCGCATCGGCGCTTCATCGCGGCGTATACATGGTACCAATTTTTTACATAATGAGACAAGTGTTTGACATTTGTAATTTTAATCAACATATAGTGAAAGAATATTTTATAATTATAATAACCTTATATGTGTAAGCATTACTGTTTTAACAATTAAAACTATGAAAAATATATAATTGTGGCGGAAAGTAGCTATAGACTATAGACTGAGCTTCTCTCTTTCAGTGAATCGACATTGTAAATGATACAAAAGATTATGTTAGACATTTTTAAGCAATATATACATTTCTTTAACTGAATTATGGACGTCTATAATGAAGGAAATATTTAATTACAGCTACAGTGTTTCATTAATCCGTAAGTGTTTAGAAAACTTCTGCAAAAATACGAGTAATTGTATTATAATTAGTAGTAGTTTTTCGTAATAATCATTTTATTACCTATATGAATTTGTAGAAATGTAGCGATTCGACCCTTCGAACCTTCAAATTGCCGTATACGCATATAATATCGCTGTGTTATTAACATTGTAAACAATAAACAAAAGATTATGCGCCGATTTTCGGGCAATCTATCGATTATTTCCATGAACAACTTATGAATGTTTTAATAAACAAAATATTTAATTGCAGTTTTGTTGTTTTTCGTTGAAAAAATATTGACGAAAATAAAAGGGCGTCAGAAGAAGTGTCTAAAAACCTCTTACGAGTAATATGAGTAATTTTATAGCAATTCATGTTATTATATATCTGTAATTCGTTCAATTAGTTTGCTTTTTCTTTCCAAGCGGCACGACTGGTCCATTCGTGTGGATTCCGTTCAACTCGACGTTATTGTGTTCGGTAATTATTGAAATTATTCGCACGCGCGCGACAGTTTGTTTTACGGATTGTTGTTTTACGGATTTCGATGTGTACCGGTGATCTCGCGTCGTTCAAACGTTGCGTTTAATAGGGGCGAATCGCACGTCCAGGGTGCAACGTTTAATTTCGGATATTGCCGCTACCACTGGCGGTACCACGGCGAACCTACTACTCCGCTCGTGCGTTCATTAAGTTATGCTTAGAGGATTACGCTTAGCCCTGATCGGCAGAGTATCCTCCTATTTCTACCTGAAGATAATTGCGGGACCGAGCATGGGTAGAGATCGCGCGAGCACGTAATTCTTCCGTCCTCCCGGAGAAACCTTCGGGAGGTTTCTTCACTTTTTTCTTCTCGGGACACAGGCATACCTGCGAGCCCGTCGTGCGTTTCTCATCGAAGGTGATGACGGTGGTGGTGGTAACGGTATGTGACCTGCTCGTGAGAGAAGGAATTTCCACGCGACAACGCTTGGATCGTGAATCGTGGCCGACCGAAGCACTATTGTGCGTGCGTTTCCCGAAATACATCCGCCTTCTTCAGATACCCCGCGTCTTTGTCGGCTTTCAGCCCAGATAAAACAACGCTCAGCTTCACCCGGCTGAGCCAAGACTTGCGATTCTTCATTTTTTGAAAGCGAAATATCGCGAGGAAATTCAATCTCGTCGCGTCGCGAGAGAGTTTTGTTATTATTTCAATGCTGAATCGATACGCCTCGCCGGTCTCCGGTATACCGGTCGAATGTGTTTGTGGTTTCTACATTGGGTGTGTGTCGTAACAATTATCCAAGTATTTTATGATTATATTTCGCTTCGGAGGCAAATGTCAAACTGGCCTGGAACGAAATTCGGCCCGAGCCAGAAAGTTCGCAGCGCGTATCACCGGCGGTACACACGTGGCACGAAACGTATTAAGGTAGTTGGTCCGTGACAACATACTGTTAGAATAGCGATGGTTAATATAACACGTCGTCGATGTGCTGAACACACATGTGCTAAATGTTTATAAACATGATTTATGATACATAGT